CACGGAGAGCTGAGTTAGTTTGGGCAGGAGGAGGTTTGGGATGATAGTGTTAAAGGCCGAGCTGAAGTCCACGAACAGGATCCTCACATAAGTCCCTGGTCTGTCTAGATGTTGCAGAACATAATGCAGTCCCATGTTGACTGCATCGTCCACAGACCTGTTTGCTCTGTAGGCAAACTGAAGAGGATCCAGCAAGGGTCCAGTGATGTCCTTCAGGTGGGCCAGCACCAGTTTTTCAAAAGACTTCATGACCACAGACGTTAGAGCCACAGGCCTGTAGTCATTAAGTCCTGTCATTTTGGATTTCTTTGGGATGGGGATGATGGTGGAGCGTTTGAAGCATGAAGGGACTTCGCACAGCTCCAGTGATCTGTTGAAGAGCTGTGTGAAGATGGGGGCCAGCTGGTCAGCACAGGTTTTCAGACAGAAATTTGCAATTTGCAGTTTATACATCTTAGTTTTACAAGCTTGCCATCAATTTTCTTTCTCATATAGATCTACAGGTTACTAATAATTCAAAGATGACTAGCAGCTGCAGTTTCTGGACTGGAGAAGACTGATGGTACACTCTAAAAAATGCTGGGTTAAATATAACCCAGCGCTTTACAAGCTTGCCATCAATTTTCTTTCTCATATAGATCTACAGGTTACTAATAATTCAAAGATGACTAGCAGCTGCAGTTTCTGGACTGGAGAAGACTGATGGTACACTCTAAAAAATGCTGGGTTAAATATAACCCAGCGCTGGGTTAAAAAGGGACAACCCCAGCTATTGGGTTGTTTTGACTCAAAACAACCCAACCGCTGGGTCAAAACAAGCCAATAGCTGGGTTTTTCAGCATTCAGCATTTTTTAGAGTGTAGGTTGTATTTTATTTTATTTTGGTGTAATTTTATCTCAATTTAAATGTATTTAACCTGATTTAATCTTATTTTAAATCTTTCATGCAGTCTATATTTATTCTCTCTTCACTGGATCTCGTAACACTGCTTAATGATTGCGTGATCAGTGGTCAACAAGCCTTTGCTGCCTGTTGGCCCAAGCTAATTAGCATGTCACTAAACTGAACATGTCAATTTCCCAGAAGTATTTCAGGGAGTTATTTGCAGGAATTACTCACCATTTGGTTGATAAATCTGTTAGGAACTGCAAAATTATTTTGTCATATTGTAACACTATTTGAAATGTATAAAATCCATTTGTCAGTTTTTAATCACAAGTTATGATTTATATACGTATTTTATGATTTTTTTTTTTTTTTTTACATTTCACAAACAAAAAAAAGATACAAAGAAAGATACAAATAACAACAATAAACAAGACAAGATTAGAAGAAAAAAAGGGAGGGGGATAAACAATAATTATGACAAACAGTATAAATAAATGTACAGATGCAAGTGCGCATAAACGTCCAGGAAGATGCATATATACGTGTGCACAACCATCCCAATATGATAAAACGTTACAAACTAATCAACCAGTAGACATATTATGTAGGGGGGTTGGTGGGGGTGATCAGTCTGGGTCCAGCTGGAGAGTTTTAACGTATGTAAGAAAGGGATTCCAAATTTTAGTAAAACTACTGTTAACTACTGTTATTAAAACTCTTAATAGAAGTAAAACAGCCATTATTTAAATCTTTTCATTGCCTTTGAATGCTCAGATGTGTGCCCGAGTCACTGTGGCACTGATATATTTGCTAGACAACAATATGAATACAGTATAGGTCTAGCTAGATCTAAATATATATACATTATGTATTGTATTTTTAAAAGTAACATTATTTTTTTATTTGTACCTGGTTCTTTTCTCACCTTAGTTACTTTATTTAACTGTGCACATTTGTACTTTTAATTGAAAGTTTTAATTGACACATGCCTCTTACAACCGCATATGCCACAAAATACAGCGCCACAAACACCTAAGATGCCATGCCACTTCATGTTAATAGTCCTTCTCAACTACTGCCAAGACAACTGCATCACAATCCAACTGGAAAGACAATATTTGGTAACACTTTATTTTAAGGTCCAATTCTCACTAATAACTCCTAATTACTGCTTATTAAGTTTCGGTATTGGGTAGGATTAGGGATGTGGAATATGGTTTTTATGTTATAAATAAAGCTGTCAAGTGATTATTTAAAAAATATATAATTAATTACTTAATGTACCAGTTAATCAAATTAATCTCAAATTAATGAGATTAATTAATTAACATGCACATCATGTGCCGATTAAAGATAAAGTTATTATTAAAGATAATAGTTATCATTGTGTTCATTTAGGGAAAAAAACACTGAATAGACATTACAGAAAAGTAGCTGAAATATAAGTAGCTTTAGATTAAAATATTTAAATTCAACATACAAAAATACAAATAAATAGTGAAATATTAAATTATAAAAAAAAAAAACGATACTCTATATACAACTAAAAGCGCCAGTAGGTGGTGACAAATACCTGTCTTAAGTCAGTGAGTCATTCAATCATTCATTCAATCGATTCGTTTAAACGGCTGATTCATTCAGAAACGAAGCAAGTGACTGCCTTTATGAATGGTTCACTGAATCATTGATTCACTCGATTCGTTTAAAAATGTGGATTTATTAATGAAACACCGCTGTGTGTTGATCAAAGACGCACAACAGTTCTCCTAGGGCCTTATTTTCATTAGTGAAATTACTGACAATCAGGGCCGCATTAAGACCGCACTGGGCCCCGGGGCTTGTGTGTGTGTATAAAATGTGTTCCCAGTCCCAAGTTCTCTGTCCGCTGTTGTACGTCTTCCTGTAAACTTCTTCCTGAGTTCGTCTCCTTTGGTTCCTGTAAATAAAGTCTTGTCAACATATTCTCCAGCGTCTCCTCGTCCCTCGTGTGTGTGCAACGTGACACATGTAGAGCAACCAGCCAATAAAGCATTACAATAATCTAACTTTGAGGTCTTGAACGCATTAATGTTTCTGCATTTGACATTGAGAGCATAGGTCATAATTTAGATACATTTTTAAGATGGATAAATGCATTTTTACAAATGCTAGAAACGTGGCTTTCAGATTGCTATCAAAGAACACACGCAGGTTCCTAACTGATGACGAAGAATTGACAGAGCAGCCATCAAGTGTTAGAGAGTATTCTAGATTATTACGTGTGGAGGTTTTGGGTCCAATAATTAAAATCTGTGTTCAGAATTTAGTAGCAGGACTAGTCATCCGATTTTTTTTTTTTTATATCAACTATGCGTTCTGTTAGTTTTGTGAATTGGTATGTTTCATCAGACCGTGAAAAAAATATAGAGCTGAGTATCATCAATATAACAGTGAAAACTAACACCATGTTTCCTGATTATATCTCCCAGGGGTAGCATGTACAGGGTGAAAAGCAATGGTCCTAGTACTGAGCCTTGTGGTACTCCATACTGAACTTGTGAAAGGTATGATACCTCTTTAATTACGGCTACAAACTGGTGATGGTTGGATAAGTATGATTTGAACCATGCCAGTGCAGTTGCACTAATGGCAACATAATTTTGTAGTCTATTGAAACGAATGTTGTGGTTGATAGTGTCAAATGCAGCGCTAAGATCCAGTAGCACTAATAGAGAGATACAACCATGATCGGATGATAAGAGCCGGTCATGTGTAACTCTGATGAGAGCAGTCTCGGTACTATTATAGCCTAAATCCTTTTCTAGTATTCTTGACAAAAAAAAGCGAGATCCGCGATGGGTCTGTAGTTAACTAATTCTCTAAGATCAAGTTGTGGTTTTTTTTAATGAGGCTTAATAACAAGGCTCTGCGACTTCAGAAAGCATCTCTTTTAGTAGCTCTAAAGTGTTAAAGGTACCAGAATGACCATTTCATTTCACATTTTACTCATGGAGTGCATTAAAACTTATATTTACACAAGTGACAAATAACATTCCTTTAGCTGGGTTAATCACTTTTTATCATCCATTTGTGATGATAAAATTCCAGTGAGAAGCAGAGTATGCTGAGTGTTTCTCAAATTAAACAAAAGCTCAGTGGGAAATCAGCTGTGAAATAATCGTTATCAGTTGCATGGAATTGTCCACTGTAATGTACAACTAATTTCTTAACTAAACTTAACTTTCATGTGATCATGTGGTGTTCCAATGACAACTCAGGTCATGTGATCTTGACAGCATAAATAGTGGATCAGTATCAATCAGCGAGTCAGACTGCCTGATAACATTTATATTTCATCCAGACTTTAATCATCAGCACTGCAGCAATGTCTGGCTGGAGCCCAGTGAAGCCTGTCACTCCAGAGGTGAAGCACATCTGCCTTGAGGTAAAGGACTCAAAATCACTCATGTTGTGAATGCATTTTTTTTTTTTTTTATTGCGTAGTAAACTTATTTGGGCTCTGTGAATGGTGGGGAAATAGGGAAAATATTTATTTTTTAAGAGATCACTCTGTTTTGCTTTTCAGTCACAATTCATTTTATATGTGTTTATTATTTTTATATCTGAATTTTAGATGTAACTCCAGAAACTAATGAATTTAATCTTCTGTTTATTCAGATGAAGTCACAAGTACAGACGTTGGCTGGGGAAAATTTTGCCGTTTACATTCCTGTAGATTTTATTTCCAAAAATGAGGGTGAAATAAACTACACATTTGTGATAAAGGTGATTGTCTATTTTTTATGATGCTTTTATGATTTTGAGCTTGTGAATTATTCCAAGACACTTTTTATTTGATAATTTAATGTCAAGTGATTTGCATCTCGACTGTGAAGAAGCACCAAGTCACTGTATAAAATGTATCTGCATTTGCATAAGATAAAAAAACATTTCGCAGCTTTGTAGAATTGCTGGAAAAAATCTAGTTCAAGTCTGCAGCATTCACTATCTCTAATGTTGCACTTCGTGGAAAAAGACTGATTTTAGGTTGTTGCTGCTATGAATGAGGTGAAGAGATCGCGTTTATCACTTGCTGCTTTAATGCATCACATCTGGTTAGGGCAAGATGAACTTGTAGTGTTTCTCTGTATAAATTAACGTGTATAAACTCTTTCTCTCAGGTGGACGTTGGAGGAGACAAGTGTCTTCATGCAAAGATATTTGAATCAGGTGGTGGAAAACTGGATATGCAAGATATCCGCTACCCAAAATCCTGCAGCGACACTCTGGTCCCCTTCTAAACACTTCTAACCGCATAGAGAAATAGTCTGTCTTATCAAATAACAGACACACGCATACTGTAGGGCAGGGGTGCCCAAACTTGGTCCTGGAGGGCCGGTGTCCTGCAGAGTTTAGCTCCAGCTTGCCTCAACACACCTGCCGGTAAGTTTCTAGTATGCCTATAAGAGCTTGATTAGCTTGTTCAGGTGTTTAATTAGGGTTGGAGCTAAACTCTGCAGGACACCGGCCCTCCAGGACCGAGTTTGGGCACCCCTGCTGTAGGGGAATTGTTCAAAACTATTACATTCCTCAATATTAAAATCAATATTCAAACCCTCCAGTGTCAGTGTGTTTATGTGTGGATGCAAACAAAATCATTAATTTCACATTACTAAAAATGTTTTATGCTGAAATAACGGAACAGAAAGTGCTGAATTTTCCTAATTAAATGAATATTAATTAAATAATTAAAAACATAATAAATAATTAATATAATAAAAAATAATTAAAATAAAAAAGGAAAGTAAAAACAGTAATATTGCAAAATATTATCACAACATAAACTGTTTTCTATTGTAATATGTTTTAAAATAAAAGTTATTCCTGTGAAGTAAAGCTGAATTTTCAACAGCCATTACTCCAGTCTTATATACTGTTAAACCTTCAGGAACAGGAACTTGCTAAATAAAGTTAAATATTAAGTAGATAAATACTGTATATGGAACTATTGCACTGGTTGTTAAACACAATTATGCTCATTTCAATGTTAATTTCGTTTGTTTGATTTGAGGTGAGGTGTTTAACTTGTATCAGTTGATGAAGAGCACGACCCAACTGAAGTTCAAGTGTAGCGTTATTATTAGTCACATCAATAAACATAAGTCTGTATATTAATTCACAACAATGTATTGCAAGATTGCGTGGATAGGTGAGAGAATATGATCTTAAAAATTGTATATATTTAGATAGAGCTTAAAAAACTCAAAGAGCTATGCCAGCATGGATTTTTACTCGGGACATTTCTGCTACTGGAGTTTCAGATTAGTCAAGTTTATTTGCATTGCACTATACAGAAAATCATGATGTTGATGTTTGTAATATAGACATATATTATAATATTTGTTCATATCTTCATACCTTAATAGTTGTATTTAGCAGATTAGAGCTGGGGTCTGGACAAGTTTATCACTATGAAGTCATCCTGCAAACACAAACTATGTACCACAATAGTTTCAAAATATGTATATGTAAAAAATAAATAACAAAAGAACACAAATAATTTAGATGGTAAGTTGAAGTAGTCGATGCATTTTAAAAAAAATGAGAAAAACACAAATGTGTACAATTTTGAATTTTTACATTTACTGTAAAGAGGAAGTTAAACATGTTTTAGTCTTTCAAGACTCATGAATGTTAGAGAAAAGCATTTTTAAAAAATCATTATCTGGTCAGTTTTTGAAGTGGTGTTCCATTATGGTGGTATTTTTCTTTGCTTTTGATATTCCAGAATTATGTGCATGTGGTTTGGTGGTTTAAATGAATAAACTCCTTTATTATAGCACCATCTTGTGGCTTAATTCTCACTAAAGTTCATACATATCATTTTGCACATTTATCCCAAATTATTGAAATGACAGGCTGGTGAAATGTAATTGGTTGTAGGAAACCGAATTTGTTTATTAAGTGCATGTAAGTTGTTGTTGCAAAGAAATTGTGGGAATTTCATTTTAGAAATCCCTGTTATTATATGTTTCTCTTATTTACTTATTATACTTATTCTTCCGTCATCAGTTTGGTCCGTGCTTAATTATGACTTCAAAGTTTTGAATTAGTTTTTATTTTTGTATTTTCCATTTTTATTTTAGGTTTTAGTCAATTTTTGTGTTTTGTGTGTGTGTTTATATATATATATATATATATATATCGTTTTAATTTTAGTTATTTTACTACATCAAGTTAAACTAAATGAAAATGGGAAATGTTGTTTTGGCAACTAGCTGAAATAAAATTATTTTATTTGATTTAGTTAACGTTTTATTTTATTTTCAAGCAAAAACATAAATGTACCGCAAATAGCTTTACATATTTTTTAGCTGGGTCTATTGCTGTGAAGTTTGTGCTGACAAAATCATATCAAAATCATATTATGGCATAAAAACAACCAACTATCATAAACATTTGCAATAAAATATTCATTATTTATTTTATTATTATTTTATTTTATTTCTTTACCAAAAATATATAGACACATCTAGGATATTATGAATAATACATTTTTGGTCTGTGTTGTAATTTTAACAGTCAAGCGCTGTATACATTTCAGTCATGGTCTTCACGGTCCTTCACAGCGCGGAGATAAGCTTCGTTTACTGAGGTTCCAGCTGAATCCACTCGTTGTATCCTCCAGCATAATGACGGGCTCTGAGAGACAAACACACTTACGATGAGTTTTGTTGTTTGTGAGCATAAATCAAATGAATTATCATGAGGTTTTTGTGATTTCCAAATGAGGATTTAAAAACAAAACACATTTAATTGCAATGTTTGTAGAGCGTTTTCTAGCCAATATAATATTTTAGAGCAAATGTCTATAGCCATTACAACGATTTGTAACTTTATTTTGCCAACTGTTTTGAGATGCAATGTATGTAAATGTCCCCAGAAGAAAAGAAAACATAAATCATAATTGTGCTACTTATGAAACAAAGCTTCCAACAACTACTGGAAAAAAACAGTAATATAACTGATGCCACTACCTGTACAAATAAATAAATAAATAAAAACACTTTTAAAATTATGTTTTAAAATAGTTTTTTAAGATATAAAAAGACTTTTCTAGCAAAAAAAAACAAACTAAAACCATAAAAAAATGTTTTTACTAGAAATAAAATAAACATTATCTGAAAAACAACTATATATATATATATATATATATATATATATAACTTAAACTTATTTTATTTCAGCTAATTGTGAAGGGAACATTTCTCATTTTCATTAAGTTTAACTTGATGTGATAAAATAATTAAAACTGAAATAAAGTAAAAAAATATATATATAGATAGTTGATATTTAAAAAGGATAATAAAAATAACAAACAAACTAAACTACTAAACTAAACTACTCAAAAATGCAGCTAAAATTAAATTAAAAACAGAAAATGTAAAAATATTTTCAAATTATGTCAAATGATGCTAATAATAATAAACAAATAATGCTTATTATATTATATTAATAATGCCGGCAAGTATAGTAATACCAGTAAATTTTGACCTTGTGGGGACATTTTTTCAGTTCCCATGAGGAAACAAGCTTATAAATCATACAGAATGAGTTGTTGTTGTTGTTTTTTACTATAATAGCAGATAGTTTCCTGTGAGGGGTAGGTTTAGGTGCAGGGTTAGGGTGAGGGGATAGAAAATACAGTTTATACAGTAGAAGAACCATTACATCTATGGAGAGTCCCCATAATGATGGGAATACCTGTGTGTGTGTGTGTGTGTGTGTGTACCTGGTATTCCCTACATTATGAGGACCAAGTATAGTAATACCAGTAAATTTTGACCTTGTGGGGACATTTTTTCAGTTCCCATGAGGAAACAAGCTTATAAATCATACAGAATGAGTTGTTGTTGTTGTTTTTTACTATAATAGCAGATAGTTTCCTGTGAGGGGTAGGTTTAGGTGCAGGGTTAGGGTGAGGGGATAGAAAATACAGTTTATACAGTAGAAGAACCATTACATCTATGGAGAGTCCCCATAATGATGGGAATACCTGTGTGTGTGTGTGTGTGTGTGTGTGCGCGTGCGTGCGCGTGCGCGTGCGTGCGCGTGTGTGTGTGTGTGCGCACTGGTTTGGGTGGTTTATGAGGACACAGTTTTGTATAATGACATGGGTATGACACAGGTGTTACAATATGAAGGTGGTTTATGAGGACACTATCTGTGTCCCCGTAATTCAAAAGGCTTTAAAAACATACTAAATGTTTGTTTTTTTTTTAATCTAAAAATGCACAAAGTTTCCTGTGAGGGGTAGGTTTAGGGGTAGGGTAGGTGTAGGGCAATAGAAAATACGGTTTGAACAGTATAAAAACCATTACGCCTATGGAGAGTCCCC